GAAGGACTTATTACACACAGATATTTTCCTGCTGGGATAAAAATGTCTGTGCAAGGAGAGACTCATTTGCCTTGCCAATGGAGAAAAGAGAGTGACGCGTAAACCACGCGTGTTCCTCTATGAAGAGTCAGATGAGCGGCACAGCCGTCTGCAGCTGGTCTCGGTGGGTTGGGGAAATGGACAGCTGTGTAACCGCCTCTCTTCCTCCATGAGACATACTCATCCCTGAACCTGCTACGTCCTTCTCTGCGACTCTTGGGCTTCCCTTACATTTCAAACCATCTTTACTACTTCAGCCTTTTATTTTTTACAGCAGGTCATATAGGGAAAATGTTCCTAAATTTGTCACAAACGTGGGCGACTTAGGCTAGGGATATGATGAAATAACATAGAAGCAGGGGTTACCTTTAATGCAAAATATCAAATATAGGCAACAAGTTCTTTGTAAATCTCATCTGTTCCTGGAAATGCCACACTTGTCCCGAATCCCAAGACTTTCCATTGGTCAATGAAGCCACCTATTTAGATTAAAGGACCAGGAGAAAGGTTTTGGGGGGAGTGGGGTATGATGAGTCAAGCTCAGCTTTTACAGGATAAGTCAATTTTCAAATATAATTTAGTTGCCTTTATCTTTGGATCTACAGATCATTGTGACAATCTCAATACAAATTAGGAAACTAAACATGAGATTGTAGTCCATCAATAGAGTGAGCTTGGAGCGGTGGCTACTTTACAACACACACAAGGACCATGGGGAACAAAAGTAGCCCCCCCTCCAGAAGGAAGGACAGTGTCAGCACCAATTCAGAGATGATTGGAGGATCTACAGCCGAGTGATACTGTAGGAAGGGTTGTGTGGGAAGGGTTTCCTTGTTGTCAATGGTGACGTTGGGGTGCTTTCCCTTCACTTCCTGCCCCGGTGTCACTGAAAAAAGAAGTGAGGGCAAAATCTAAAAGGGACTAGCAGCAACCAAAAACACTTTTCGAGGGAGATCTCCCCTCAATTCCAGACCTAGTGACAGTTGGAGCCACAGAGAGCAGTAAAAATCCCTTTACCCCACTCCTTGCAAAACTAAAAAGAACATTTAAAATACAGTAAAACTTTAAAGTTGAACTCCGGCCTTCCCTTCAGTCTTGCACAGTTGTACCGGCTCCTCTCATGTACTGAAATGGCTTCCTCTGATTTCACTGCACACTGTGAGCATCTCTCAATGTGGATTAGAAGCCACAGCAAGTCAGATAGAGCCCTCCTCATTTCCTGGTTGGAGGACGTCTAGCCTCATCTGGCCCTTTCCTCCCCAGCCTGAATGTCCCTTCCCCTTTCATTCACTGGATTCAGTTCTTTCTATCATGGAGGCTCGGCATCACATGTGGGCATTAACCAGGGTGGTAGGCATGCACATACAGTCTGCCCAGGAAAGCCAACTGCACTAGATGAACACCTGCCCATGTAGGTGCTCTGATATTTACATAATTCCCCCCAAGAGCCAACCCACTGCTTGCATCGGGAATAAGAGCTTTTGAGAGTTGTACTGAAGCTATATACAGCACCGTGCTGGCCCTTACCCCAAGCCATGATCTGCCTGAATTGCCTAGAGAAGCACAAAGACTGAGCAATGACATTACTGGGTCTATAATAAGGTATGGAATCAAAAGGGAAAGGCTCTATTTAAAAATGTCATTAGCATGTTGATGAGGAGGAAGGCAGGAACCACGGAAGGCAAAATATATGCAGATTGAACCGAGTGATGAATATACATAACTAGCAAAACATTTCACAAGCCAGAAAAGCTTTATTATACAAGCTGCAGACTTGGTGACAGCGTACCTGCATTATGCCGTGCAACACATCCCAAAGCCCAGGCCGCGGCTTCTTTTACACCAGGGTCAAAGTCTTCTAAGCAAATCACCAGCGTGTCCACGGCTCCACAATCCACGACTGACTGAGCTAACTGAGGAGAATGCTTGGCAACTGCCCGGAGCACAAATGCTGCAGCTTTCTTATAGAAGCGCTGTGGGAAGAGGAACGGGACAAAATGATTACACACAACACTCCACAGACCTTACACACTGCAGATTAATTCTCATGTCATGCATATTAAGTTCAAGTTGATATCCCACAATCTCCCTGATCAATAGATTAGAATGACCCTCTACTTCACTAAAGAAGTCACCCAAACTTCTTCATAGTTAAAAGAGAACTATGGGGTCAGTGTTTTTCCCCATAGTTCTCTTAAAGGTCACAGGAGGACATATACTGGCGTCCTCCCGTGACCCAACGTTCAGTATATCGCGAACTACTGCTTGGTGTGACTGGGGTGCCATTAGAAAATAATGGCACCAAGAGCGCAATTGTCGGTGATGGGCGACTGCGTGACAGCGCGGCAATTAGCGCAGTATCGTGCACGATTGCTGCGCAGTCACAGATCGCCCGGGTGTGCACCGGCCCTTAGACCCCATTCACACTGAGCATTTTGTAGCGCGTTTTCCGCTCAAAAATTGCGCAAATATAAAGCTTAATGTAACTCTTCCAATGCATTTCAATCTAGATGTTCACATCTTGAAGCTCAATGTCGCCTGTAGTTTGTAGCTGAAGCTTGTCGCTCGAACATGTATTGTATCTTTTGGCAGATTTCACACTTCTTGGCCCCAATAAACTTCAATGGTGTAGCTCAATATCGCTCATTACCAGCGTTTTTGTGCGACATTGTTAAAGCGCTGCGCAAACTGTTGGCGCTATATAAATCCTGTATAATAATAATAATTGTTGCGCGATGTCGCTCTGCACAAGTGTCACTTTTGCCCACAAATTACACTGTCCCCAGAAGCAGGAAACAGGAAGAGGAATTATGTCACATCAAAGACCTCTTTTGATTGGATGCAGCCCAATGTAGCAGCTACAAAGTCCCTGTGGTAAAATGCCAAAAGAAGCGCTACGTAGAGCGTCAAAATGTGCACTGTAGCTCAAAGAAGCTCAATGTCGCTCAGCTCAAATCAGCGCTTATTTTGTTGCAGTTCAGTGTGAATGGGGTCTACATGGTATGGTCCCGGCTACGGTTTCTGGATTAGAAAATGGGCAGAACGACATTTTTGGTAGGGAAGACAGTTTACACATATGTACTACAACTGAGCATTAAAGGAGAACTATGAGGTGGGTGCTTTTCACTCACCTCTAGCCGACCTGTGACAATGAGACTGTCACAGGTCGGCTCAGTAGATCGAGAAGTGAGCGAACACATACCGGTGTTCACTGACCTCTCGATCCTGTCACGGCTCTCTGCCGTGACAGGGGAGGGGCTGGATTCCCCCCTCCCCGCTCCGATCCGCCAGCGCTGACTGGCGGAACGGACGGGGGAGGGGCGGGTACAGCTGGCTCTGACTCTAGATAGGCAGAGCCAGCTGTCAGTCACGCAGCTGGGCGGATCCAGTCATCTACGTTCGGATCCGCTCCGGCTGCGGCGTCTCAGTATACCGCGAGCTGTAGCTCGCGGTATACTGAGCTTAGGGTAACGGGAGGACGCTAGTTTGTGTCCTCCCGTTACCCTAAGGAGAACTATGGGGAAAAACACTGACCCCATAGTTCTCCTTTAAGCTGTTTATATAGACTGTTCCTTGAAGCCAATTGAGGTTTACACCTTAAATATCTAGTGCTGGCACACCCTTGTAATGCAGCTCTTGTCCTTTTGATCAGTCACACAATTACAAACAAATATCCAGCATCAAAGTACACACGCTGTCCTTGCTGAGAACACTATTTATCTAGTGATCTTTTTAGTCCTTCCAGAACATTTTGTGATTTTTTTTCTCCTGCTGCTTTCTCTACTTCCACTAAATGATTATACAAGTTCATGTTTCATTTGAATTGCTTCTTTGTCTCAGCATCCAAAACACTGGGAGCAAGGAATAAAACAAGGCTGATCTTGTTACAATGCAGATATGTTAACTGTCTGAGTGCGCATATTCAATATTTGCAGCTTCCAATGTTAATTAGTGAGCCAGCATTCCTTATAGCATTGTCCCTCTGTGTAGTCTGATCCCTTCTGAGACACCACATGCAGCAGAAGAAGCAGCTTCCATCACCGGACGGACAGCTGTAAATAACTGACTTGAATCTTCCTTCATGGAAGTGGCAGCTTTAAAAAATAATCTTACTTTCTGATCTCTCTTTAAAGACCCCATTCACACCTACAATGTAGATGCATTTAGGGATTCCTGCATCAGGAACTTGCCATTTACTGCAGCAGGAATCCCTAATCTGCCATTTACAAGCTAATGATCGGGTGGCAGTCGCTGCATTTGAACGCCGGCGCACCGTATGTGCATCACATAGGATTCAATCAAGCACACGGACCTGGACACACCATAGTAATAGAGATAAAACTCTGCAGTTAGTTAGCATGACATTTTGGTCTTTCCAACAAAAAATGTTTCAAACAAAAGGGATTTCCTTTGTTATAGAGTTGCCACCAGAACAGGCGTCCCCTAGAAGATTGGAACCCTCACTTCCAGTGACAACTGTAAAATATTGGATTTTCCATCAATTCTGTTGTGGTGACAATGGTCACCAAGCCAATAGAAAGGGTGAAACTACCTAGTGGGAACATAGCAATAAAAACCTGACAGAGGTTTTATTCCTTCCCTAGTCTATCCAAAACTGATTTTTTTTTAAACAAAGCCAATTATAATGAGCTGGGTCTGAGAAGAGAGATTAGCAGGGATTCCCTACTTTCATATTTTAGTAAACATGACACATACCTCTTCATTATGAGGGACATGACACCAGGGCTGACATTACAAACCATGGGGCTCCGTAAAGCTAACCTGACAGGGCCTTCCTGATTAGCCCAACCGCATAACACAATGAAATGCCACTATATTTCAAAGCGTTATCAATCAAACATTTTATAAATATGACAAAAAGTAATACAGTTCAAAGAATTGTGACTGGCAGCCCCTGCTGGGCCCAGGCCCCCCTGCTGCCCAGATGGGGCACAGGCCCAGTATTGGAGTACTGCCTGTACCTCACTATCAGCGGCCCTGCATGACACGTACCCCCTTATTATGAGGGACAGTCAGTTCCCTAGTTGCTTCTCAGTTTTCCCTCTGTTTAGCTTGATAGGCTTCTGTGTAACCTCTATAAGGTCCTGTTCACACTGCTGTGGTGCGTTTTTCACGTGGTACGTGTGATTAACGTACACTATAGTGCAATGCACCTATCATGGCGTTACAGTGCATTAATCTGAATGGACCCTCAACACACCTTCCAGCCGCAATGCACTCCACTGCGTCGCCACACACGTACCGCAATACCGTGCATTGCAGTGTGGTGGAAAAAGGCAGCACATGCCCATAGGTCCAGCTGCCCATTGACTAACATTAGGCTTCCAATCAGACCCACCTGAAGAACTGGTGGGTGGACCTAAACGGACCACCCGTGTGAAAGAGGCCTTTAGGGCAGGTTCACACCATTTTCTTGACAAGATCTGCACCAGATCTGGAACTCAGTGCATTGCGTTTTTGCCGCGATTAGACCTCGATTTTGACGCTTTTGGAATTTTTTGTTGTTGTTGCTTAAAATGGTCTTACAGGTGCGTTCCAGTGGGTTTGTATGCGTTTTTGATGCATTCCAGACCAGACAAAATAGGACAAGTAGTATTTTTCTGGTCTGGTCTGGTCTGGTCTGGAACGGACTGCGCTGGCGTGAACAGAGGCCAGAAATAGCATAGGGATACATTAGGATGTATTTTGGGTCCGGAAACAATCTGGTCTGGAGATGATCCACACATGGTATGAATGGGTCCTAAAAGGTGTCCCTCGTTCTCATCTCAGATAGCTGTAAGGTATGAATGGAAAAGTATTGTCCGACTGTAACTGCTAAGTAGAAAAAAAAATCTTACAACAAGCTTTCCAAGCACAAAGGGCGTTCCCTCATCAGTCATATTAACAGATGAAAGGCGCATTATCTCATTATAAAACACATCTATATTCAACACATTACAGTGAATTCTAAAAAGGTAAGAAGACCGTTCCAGATGGACAGGCATGACTTCACTGGAGCCCAGGTAGGAAGGCTTCAGGCAATGTTCCCCCGGGGAATATATGTAAATATACTTCTTCAAAAGAAAAAAAGATTCTCAGAAAATGTAATTATTACATGGTAATCCTTGGGACGCATTTACACTGGCCACTTGTGTTTTGATGCAGAGATGTGTCTGCAAAATCTGGCAGGCTAGATGCATTGTCTGTGCTTCTAGATGCTTAACATGACGCGCATTTACACGCATGTGCCTTTACACGCATCTGTCCCTTGTCCATTGAATAGTTCATTGAAGTAGTCAATAAGATTTCAGCAAATAGACCCATCTTGTGTTTACATGCATTTTGGTGCGTTTAGAAGCTAAAATTGTTTCCTGGAGGCACCTGACTTCAGTTTTTTTCTAAACACAGCTAAACTGACTGCATCTAAATACATCTACATACAAGGTGTAAATGGATTCATTGGAGATCATTAGATGCATTTATATGTGTTTAGAAAACCATTAAAAGAGAACTATGGGGTAAGTGTTTTTCCCCATAGTTCTCCTAAGGGTCACGGGAGGACACAAACTAGCGTCCTCCCGTGACCCAAAGCTCAGTATACCGCGAGCTCCAGCTCTCGAGCTCCAGCCTATCTAGAGGCAGAGCCAGCTGTACCTGCCCCCTCCCACATTCGTTCATCCAGTCAGTGCCAGAGGATCGGAGCGGGGAGGGGGGGGGAGTCCCTGCAGGGAGCTGTGAGTGACAGTCACGGCTCTCTGCAGGGACATGATCGAGAAGTGAGCGAGCGACGGTATTTGTTCGCTCACTTCCTGATCTATTGAGCCGACGTGGGACAGTTTCATTGTCACAGATCGGCTTGAACTATGAGGATGAGTGAAAATCAGTCACCTCATAGTTCTCCTTTAAATCACATATAAAAGCACCCAGTGGGCCGTCTCCCGCTGACCTATGGGCTCGTGGAAACCCTGGCAGG